GCCTGGTGTGCTTATTCAGGTAAGCTCAATATAATATTATCCATGTTGGTCAGTTTCGCAGTGATGACGTTTATTCCTGCCATTCGTAGTTTCCACCAGAGGTTGCAAGACCAAAGATGGCCCTGACCTTCCTTGGATGTCTGAGCGAAATAAACTCTGCTGAACTGTAGACACAGCGTCAAAAGTATCTGACCCTGCTAACTTCCTGCCTACTTCTAACAGGTTTATGAGGGTGAACGTGCTATGACCAGAGACAACAACCTCCTGGGCAAGTTTGAGCTCACAGGGATCCCTCCTGCTCCTCGTGGTGTTCCCCAGATTGAAGTGACATTTGATATTGATGCCAACGGCATCATGAATGTCTCTGCTGTAGACAAGAGTACTGGCAAGGAGAACAAGATCACAATCACCAACGACAAGGGTGAGTTTTGAGCAGACTTCAAGCAGAGTCTCAAATGTAGTGTGCCACAGTTTCTGACTTTTGTTTCTGCCATTTGCCCCCAGGTCGGCTCAGTAAGGAGGACATTGAACGCATGGTTCAGGAAGCTGAGAAGTACAAGGCTGAAGACGACGTCCAACGTGACAAGGTATCTGCTAAGAATGGCCTGGAGTCATATGCTTTCAACATGAAGTCCACTGTGGAGGATGAAAAGCTTGCCGGCAAGATCAGTGACGACGACAAGCAGAAGATTCTGGACAAGTGCAACGAGGTCATCAGCTGGCTTGACAAGAACCAGGTAATTCTCATAACAAAAACAAACATTTCACATGTCATAAATGTTCTTAAAAACCTAAAATGTCTTTTGTTTTGCAGACTGCGGAGAGGGATGAGTATGAACATCAACAGAAGGAGCTGGAGAAGGTGTGCAACCCCATCATCACTAAGCTGTACCAGAGTGCTGGTGGCATGCCTGGTGGGATGCCAGAGGGCATGCCTGGTGGCTTCCCTGGAGCTGGGGGTGCAGCTCCTGGTGGTGGTGGATCCTCTGGCCCAACCATTGAGGAGGTCGATTAAACATTCCATCATGGCTGCTACTGAGATGTTTTCTAAGAAAGTAACCCTCTTATAGCACAAGTTACAACAGGCTAAAGAGTGCAATATAAAATAAAACCGGGTTCAGGGATCACATTTATTGCATTGTTTGCGACAACTGGGAACAACTTGTATTTGGCACAGCTGAGCTGTGAGTTCATGTCTGTTAAGTGTTTTGTATGAGATGTCACTGCCTTGACAATAAAAATCTTCTAACCCACACTGTGTCACTCTTGTGTAAAACTAGATAAACAGCAAGTTGCTATAGCGGCTGCACTACTGCTTGGTTTGACTTGACTTTTAGTTGAGGCTTGAATGTTGACACTTTTTGGACTGCAAAGATGGAGTCATGCAATTCAGGTATAATGTATGTGGGATTTCTCATTTGCAGTCAGTGAAGCCATCAGTGTCGAGACACTACTGCTTGTAGTAATTAATAGACGGACGTAAATTAACTGCAGCTAGTATTTGAAAGACAAGACGGTATGCAAGAATTGTATAATAGTGGAAGCGATACGTTGTTTGAATAACCGCTGCTACATCAACGAATGGCCCTACCGCACGAATACGCGGTACACATAACATGGCTGCATGCATCCGTGGTCCGTTAGAGTCAGGCGGAGCGGAGCCGCTATTCATTTTAAGAGCCATTAATCATTTTTAGTTGCACCTGTTTTTCCGCTGTGACAATATGTCTGCCACGAATATTCACCCTTTTAAATGGTGTGTTCGTCGGTGTGACCTCTGTAGTTTTAGAGCCGGAGCTTTTATGAAGAGCACTTGAAGGCAGCACGTTTGCGTCGGCGTTTCCATGGTTGCACTGCTGTAGAGAGTCCTGACAGGAAAACAGGTCAGTATCTGAACGAGTTCACTTGTTACTTTTATTACTCTGTTTAATTAACACGACACAATCCTGTGCTTCTGTCATTTCCATTGAAAATACAAGAAATGTCATTTCACGTGGTTTGAACTTGAGTTTCTTTGTTTTTAGCCCTACACGATAGCGTCGTTTGGCAAAATAAAACTAATGATTGCTGTAAAGCTAGCTGACAGATAGCTTTTATGCTATTAAGTTAAGCGATGGCACAATATAATAACGCGACTTTGGCCGTTTTCCTTCCCGTCATCTCCCAACGTGCAGTACAGTTAAAGTATACTAAGTCTTAAAAGAAGAAAGAAATATGATGTAATGTGTATTCCTTGAAAACAATTGGCATGAGTTTAGGGCTAACTATCCAATCAGTCATTTGTATTAGCCGTGCATCAGACAGCTTTTCAGGGCGGACATTTTAAAATCCCACTATAGGAAAAACGCAGATGTAACGTTAAATAATGTAATTAATGATGGCGGAATTCCTTTTTAACGTAGTTGTTTCAGGAAAACTTGAGTAGAACGTCGTTAATGTCATTAGTAACATATGCTATTCCTACTATGACAAGTCAAAATGTCTGTTTCCAGCATCAGTGTGTTAAGCATATTCCGGGTGACATTTAGAAACTTGCTGCAGAAATGAAGCTGTATCTCTCATCTGATGCTGGTAAGACGAGCTGCTGGGGCATTATAGTGTGCATAAAAGAGGAGCTAACGTTAGTATTGTCGTACTTGAAACAATGTTGACGTGTTTACTCTGGACATTCACACAGGCAATAGAAAAGAGTCATCAGGTTAAAGCCGCAGTAGGTCATTTTTTAATAAAAATAACCTTTTGTCATATTTGCTCAATCTTTCACTATATCCTGACCGTAGTACACGAGACAGATAATCTGTGAAAAAAGGGTTCCTCTGGCTGCTCCTAGTGCTCCTGATGGCAGTTGCACGAATCCATCAGCCCAAAGGAGCACAGGGCCAAGACTTTCTGGATTTTAAGGCGTGTAAGAAAACGTAACTACTGAATATACACAGTAGGCCTATATCTCAGCATGTGGTTCATTTCTGTCAATGTAAAGTAAATTGTCTAATAAAACAATGGCCTTAAATCTTTATGATTGTTAAAATGATAAAAATCCAGACAGAGAAAAAAAAGTCTATATATATATATATAGTTGCCATAAAATATGTTACTTAGAAAGGGTTGGGGACCACTGCTCTAGGCATTTAGCAACTTCAGTTGCGTTCAGAGCTGTGTTAACAGCGCAAGTCATATGGGATCTGATCTTTTCAAATTGATTTGGGCCCATAGTGGTCAATATGTGACCTCAGTGTGAATCTTCATGTCAGAATTCATGTAACTTTTATGTCACTCTAGACTGACATTCTTAATGTGGTTCTATTCACACTGGAATCTGACATGGACCACATTTAAAAGGAACTGTGAACAGCCAAACAAACAAAGAGTTTGGGTTGTTTCTTTTTGAGGTTGTCAGAAAAAGGGTCATGGGTTTATAGGTCCAGTGAGTAGCATTTAGGAGGACCTATTGTCAGAAATGTAATATAATAGTCATACGAGTGTTTTCATTAGTGTATAATCACCTGAAAGTTTTTGTTCCTCAGAATGAGCCTTTTATCTACAGACACCATGGGTCGCCATTTTGATGTTTTTACACTAGCCCAGAAATCTTAAATCTGCAACATGGTTGGGAGGATTACTTTAAAAATGTGTTTCAATACAATTACTAATAACTTGTTAAAAATGTTCAGTAACCCAGTCCAAGTATCACAATATTAAAGTAACATAACTTGATTACTTTGCGTTACTTGGATTACCTCAACATTAAATATGTAAATAAAGACAAGAGAAAGGAAATGTCAAAAATAAGTATTTTTATATTTGTATTATATAGTATTATATTCTATAAGACAACAGAAAAATGGAACCGTAGAAAATAAAATGGAAACAGAAAAAGAGTTTTAGCATCAACAATGTAAAAAACGGAACAAATTTGAATTTGAAATTTGAACTGAACAAACGAATTTAAAAATTGTAATCCTGCTAAATAATCTCCATTCTTACTAAATGTAACTGTAATGGATTACGGTTTCCTGTATTTTGTGAGTTTTTTTTGTCCTTTAGATCTAAGACCTGCCCTTTACCCAGACAGAAATTTGTAGTTCAAAGCCATGAATGCCCAACATGCTTCAGCTCTTACAATCTGATGTTCATCTTAATAACTTAACAACTTGATGAATGTATGTTTTTATGTTTGTTGGTTGTAGTGATGGTAAGCGACTCCATATATGACCATCTTCATGAATCAGACTGTCCACCTACAACATGGATAAAGGATTCAAACATGAAAAGATGCGTCAGGTGTTGAAGACTGAGCAAGAGAAGTGTCCTTCTCTGGGGCTCGCAGTTGTGGCCAACCAGTGGGACTCTGTGGAGTCGGACACAGAGAGCTTGGCCCAGGAGAGAGCTTACCAACAGCAGCTACAAATGTCTATTGATCAAAACAAATACACACTGCCCCAAAAGGAGAATGCTGACAACTTACAGCATGCAGATGGAGAGAATGAAGATGCAAATGATGATGCAACTGAAGATCTTCAGGTTTATGATAGCCTAGAACGAGCAGCACACCCCGAGGCCAGGAGGAACCCCACCCTGCTACACACTGAATATTTGGAAACACAGATAATGGAAGAAGAAGGAACAAGGTAAGTTACATATACTCTGTCTGACAAATAGCAACTCATTTAGTGTATTCAAAGTAACATTAGGGAATATACACACCCAAGGTTGCCACAGGTCAGGTGAAAGTGCTTGGATATACAGAGCAATAAAGAGATCCTTAAAAGTGCTTGGACTCAGAGGTTGACCTCAGAGGTTTTTGATATCTTTTTTTTAATCATCATTCTATGAGGAAAAAATGTAAAATGTAGTTTTTTCAGCATATATGGCATGTTTTCCAAACTTTTTAAACAATATTTTGACAAAAGCCTATTACCAGATTTTAGTTATTGATAACCATAAAGCAAGAAACTTTAAATAAAACTTTAAATAAAAGACTTTATTTGTTGGGCCTAAAAATAATTTCTACTGATATGCAAATTAGTGCCAGTAAATTTCCTACTTTAATGATAAAAAAAATCCCAAACTTTTTCCTTAAGGGAGCCCTTTCCTATAATTGGGTAAACGGACAACCCCTGACAAAGTTACATATTTTATAGATCATAAATATTATATTCAATGTATAACAATAACTGTAAAGAACATCTGATAAACAATGTGTAATAGTCTGAATATACTCCCAAACGGGTACGTACATGGACAACTGCGGCATCCGTTTGAGGGTCTTATTCCTGACTGGTTTCCCACAGTGTAGTGGTCAATCTGACAATCTGCGTAGTCACAACAAATTGACAGTACTCTGATGACAAAATTGAGGTTAAAGCGGACGTGGAAAGTATAATACCTGCTATAGAAAACTTAAAATACATACAGTAGGCTTATATATGATAAATATATATTATATATTAAATGTAGCTTTTTGGGCTCTGAGCCCTCAATCTTTTTGGATTTGAGGAGTGAAAGAGAAAGTGAGAAAAAGAATAAAGGAACAAATAGTAAATGAGATGTGTAAAAAAAAGCAGGTAAAGAAGAAGAGGGACAAGAGTTACCAGGGGTAGATTAAATAAAAATAAAAATGTGTATCCCACTAGGCTATTCTCTTAAGTAATGTAATATAATTTGAGTAAATTCTAAATCTGTTGGTCTAATATTCAGTTCAGAGCATTGAAGACCACATTTACTTGGCATTGTTGCGGATCCTTGATCTAGCTAAGGCCTGAATGTTTGCAGTGTCCTTCAATCTTACAATAAACACAATTTCCTCAAACAGCATAATAAAAATAGGTGACTTTGTCTCAAAGGAAGGCACCAGAAGCATTCTTACTTTTAGCATTTTTTCTTAAAAAAATGGAACTAAACAGCTGCTTCGTTTCCAACACTGGGACTAGACTACTCATTTCACAGAAACAAGACTTTTTTTACTTTCTTGATATTCATTTTTACAGTGCAGGCAGAGAACTGTATAAAACATTCCTAAAAATATCAGGAAAAGTCATTTCTGGTCTTTCCTGTAGTTATTGTGTTCACTGTTTGGGTTCATTGTACAGTTTATCAGTTGTTCCGTACTGTTATTGTTATGCACTGAATATAATATGAAAAAGCCATAAAATATGTCACAAAGCCAGTTTACTCAATGATAGAACAAGGGGTCTGTTTAAGGAAAAAGGGTGGGAACTACTGGTTTAAGTGACTCTATAGTATGACTAATTTTGATATAGAGTAATGCTGTTTGGCCACTGGATGGCAGTAATAGATCTTAGTGGAACAATTGCTAAGGGCTGAACCTGCAGTCTTTATTTCTGGGTTAAAAAAGGCTCAAAATAACTATTACTATTAACATGTTTTGTTACAACTCAGTTTCACATTAGGTGGTCATAGAGTGAGTGGGGTGAAAATAATCAGACTGCTTGCCTTACGTGTGTGGCCTTGTGTATCAATTATTCCATAAACATGTGGCATTATATAAGCAATTCTCCAGGATGAGGTTTGTGCCCAACCTTGTTCAGTTTGCCGATTGAACTGGACAGTCACTTCCACTGTCTGTGACAAATTAATTAAAATTAAGCAGATAATAGTGCGAATGAAATACGATGAGAATCGCAGCAGCAATCAAACCTTTCACTTTTAAACAGCACATGGTTGATAAAAGATAAATAGCCTTCATTCATCACTTAACAATGAAATGGTGTCAGTTATTTAATGAGATGCAGGCCCCGATGGTACATTGTCGTGAGAATGGCCTAATTCAGGTGCTTTCAGAATAACGGCTTTCATTTGAGGGAAATTAGATTTTTGTTTTGTTTGGGCGGATCACAATAAGTGGTCACTCGTGGTCCGTTAACAAGCATCAATGTTGCAGTAAAGGAGATCTCTCTTTCTCTCTTTTGATGGAGCAGAGGCAGGCATCTATGGCGAGGAACAACACCACATCTGTTTTTGCACCCTCTTCGACTCGTACTGTTGTTTCCCATCCACTTTCCTCCAGACAGCACCTAATAGTCATTTCCCTCCAAAATAGAAAAGGGGCATGCTCAATTTTCCTGTCATTAACCTGTGCAGATTGATGCCCACCAAGTGTGGGTCCGCTTCCAAAGTTACATTGTTTCAGGGGAAAATGACCATGACATATTCTCACAAAAGGCTCCATTTCATAGAGCCAAGCAGTGGACACGGTCCTATTCCTATCATCATGTTCTCATAGTCCTCAAAGCATTTCCATTGCATAGTTTACAAACCCAACGGGCATTCCTCATTCAAGCAAAAGATTCCTATTTAAGCAAGTCCATTCATCCTTCTGCACTATATTTTACACCTATCTTACTCAAAGTCCTGCAGAAGGATATTTGAGCATCATCCTTATGACCAGTTCTTTCATTTTCCCATTCAGTGTTTGTCACAATATTTCATTGGCTTTTGTATTTAGGTGTCTGTATCTTGGGTGAGAAATAATAGGCTGTGGTGTTTTGCCAGTGTTAGAGGCATCACGCCCGGCTACATGGAGCCTATAATGCATTCTCCAACTTGTTTGAGTCTGAGTCATTAGAGAGACATCCCTTACCCTTTTGGCCTCATCGAAGTGAAGGGCCCTACACCTTGGCAACCCCCCCACACCACCACCACCACCCACACACACACACACCCCTACTCACAGCATCATGGCAGGAGAATTAGGCTCCCCTCGTCCTCCCAGTAAGCACAACAAAGAGGCTCTCTGCTATTTATTTTAATGAGATCTTTTCATCACCATCAGAAAGAGCATTTTAGCCTGCAATTTTCAGGCCAGTTTATAAGCTGAAAATTGCCGTTTGTGAACCATTCCCCCGCTAGTAGCTCTCAAATACACTCTCATTAGTGAGCCTGGAGGTGAAAATACGAAAATTATCTGTAAATACAGGCTCATAATCCCCCTCATCTGTTTCAATTTCTGAAGTCTGTGATAAGGCCTAGCTCTCTTTGTTTGAGGACATCATCATTCTAATAATGGTGTAATGCCTCTTGTGCCTTTGACCTCTCACTGCAGACGTGTGTGGCATTCAGGGGTCTGTAAAATATTTGGATATGGAAATGTCATTAATAAAGCTGCTTACTAACACTGAAATCATTTACTAATAATATGATTAAAAGCTCTACTATACATATATGCACATATTCTTTGATGATTCCATTTAGTTTCTCATCTCCATTAGAGCTATAACTATAGCTATAAAAAAAAGAAATTAGTCTCTGGCTAGTTGTATTGAGCATATCTTTATTGCTGTTGTCTGTCCTTAACCTCACAGCCTGCTCTCTGATGATGCCTACTCTGACCTTCGATATGACCCCAACTGGAGGACCAACCTGAAGGGAGCTGGCCACTTCGATGAGAGTCCACAGGTGTCCATCGAGGAATATTACCAAGTCCCTAAAGAGAAATCTAGTCAGGCATGTGGTGGCAGACAGGGACTGGTAATAAAAGCAGGATACAGATACATCGTCGACACAGGTTCAGCTGTTGTGGTGACTCCTCATATGGCCGGCAGTGAGTCTGAGCAACCATACCGCTTACACCCACAAAATGGTCAGACTTCACACCACGACAACCATGCTTTACAACTCGGATCACCAGGGGGTGAACTTTCAAGGCCTTCCAGCATTTTCACTAAAAATGAAAGTGACAACACTTCACAGAGAGGATTCAAAGGGATGTGTGAAAATAACTGTGACAATGCTGCTGAAAATATTAGCAGGGCTCCTGAGAGGATAGAATTTAAGACCCACTACCAGCAAGAACTGAGACACGCACAAGCAGGACCCACTCAAACAGAACACATAAGCACATCCACGTTGCTGAGTCCGAAGGTTTTGATGAACAAAAAGCTTGAAAGACTCACAGAGGACATAGTGGAACGTAATAAAATAACCCTGGGCCGCAACACATCGAAATGTGGCTCCTATGTGACGGTGCATGCACTTAAGCAGGAGATTCCTCAGAATGAGAATAAGGTGTGTATGGAATATAGAGTTTTCCCAACTAATAGCCTCAGCTTATGGTCTTATCGATCTTTAAAATGTGACAACAAACCCTCCAACAGCTCTGTAATAGTCACTCATAGTCCTCTCCTAAAAGAGGCTGCAATTACAGAAACAGACACCAGGAGCTGCACTAGCATTGATAATGATTCTTGGGCAGCTGAACTATTATTACCCTTACATGACTTAAGATTAAGTTTGAGTGGGGACAGACTACTCAAAATATTGGAATAAAATATAAATTAGTTTTTAAAACCCATTTTAAGTTTTTGAAACATGTTTTTGTGATCTGTTTGGTGTTACAGATCATTGTTTGGTGGTGAAGATAAATATACTGAATCTACTATATTTTTCAACTCTTAAACACTTCAGTTCTGGGGCTGGTTGGCTATTATTATATTTTCAAGAGATCTGTAATACTGCACACTGAAAAGTGTTGGTATATTTACACTGGAAATCTTATTCTAATTAGAAGGCATTATTAATAGGCAGTTGCTTGAATGCAGAATACAAGCCTAGACTTTTTTCTTCTGCATCAGCCAAGCTTATGCTCATTTAGTTATATTATTGGTATCTATATGCCTTTTATTGTCATCTCAGACAACAAACTAAAAGAATATCCTATGATGTTTGGTCTGACCCAGTCTGGAAAATTAATTTGGCAGGGGAGCATAGCTGTTTTCATCTGCCTTCTCCTCCACCATATGAAAAGAGCTAAGTCTGGCTATGCAGTGCTTATTATGAGTTGATGTGTACAACAAGAACATCAGAGACGCATGGTTACCAATAGGCTCTTAGACATCCCTGCACCTGGCACAGTGGCATAATTGGTCGGGATGGCCCGCATTCCCCATTTGTCAGGCCACAAGACTGTTTGCTGGCTATAATACCCCAACCTTGTTCCCCCATCTGAGCCCCATCCCTCTACAATGTCTCATATCATCACCATTTACATAGTCAAGAGCCGTTAGCTTTGTGCAATGATAAACAGAGCCAGAGCCTTTCCCTCTCCTGAACCCTTGTGTTTTGTCATTTTCCCTCTGAATTCGCTTATTAGTTTTCCATTTCCTTGTCTCCCCAAAGACATGTCTTTCTTAATGGGGGACATAGGGCATAAAAGAAGGGGGCACCAATTTGCATGTAGTCTATTTCCTGTGTCATTGCAGGATTAATCTATGAATCGGGTATGTTGAAAACAGCATAATATATCAACAAATCTTAGCCGAATTGACTTAAAGCAAAGTCATTTTACAAACAGGCACCAAAATAAATTAAAATGTAAAAAGTGCAGTTCATTGCTGATTAACATGCTTCTAGGGACAATCTACCCCAAAACAGAATTCACATATAGGAGGTTTGTATGAATTTAGAGAGTGACGTATGACATATAAAACATAGGCAGGTTTAAAAAAAAACAAAAAACAAATAAATTGAGTAATTGAATAAAGACTGAATTAAGTGACACAAAGTAAATGTTGTTTAACTGTTAAATGCACAGTGAAATCAAATACACAACTAACTTCTGTTGAGTCTACAGAGGCACAGTTTCTAGTTGGTTCTGAGGACAGTATCTTTTGGAGATGTTTCTGGGTCAGATTGGAGTTTTGTTCTCTGGCCTCTTGTTTTGGTGCTTATTTTCACACACGCTAAATGAAATACGGAAGATCAAAGAAGTAACATATGTTATCTTCTACCTTCCGTATAAGGTTTTTGGAGAATGTAATATTAAAGGTCAGAGAGAGGGACATCTGAAAACAACATTTCACAATTAGGATAACCACAAATCTCTTATCAGAAAGCTTTTTCTGCTTCCTCCCACCCTTCTTTGTCCGCAGCTACTTGCAGAAGATAGCAACACTCCATGTACAAATCGCATCAGTTTCACAAATCAATATGAGTCCAGACAAGCCAGTTGTTACTAGGCCCTTTTAAAATACCCCATTTGGTTTTTTTGAAGAGTGTGGCCATCTGAAGGCAACTTGTGATAATTAGACATGTTATTAAATGTACGCAATTTCCTAATGCAGCAAATGTTTAGCCCGGCCAAGTGGCAGAGTGGCGGTAGCAATGATTGGCTTCATCGGGGCTTGGGCCTCCTTTGATAAAGACAGAAGTAGCAGATCAATCTTCTGCTATTGCACTCACCCCTTAGAGTCCCTTCTCCTCTCGCAGGCCCTCACTTCAAAGCCAGGGGAACATAATGTACAATCTTTTAATAGCTTTAGACCAAAGCTCTGGGGAGCTCTCTGCCACTGTATACCCTGCCTCAGTCTAAACACCTAATCAAGATTACCTGGGCTGGCCACAATAGCAGCTAAATGCAATTCAAGATCCACAGATCCTTTGAAGTCTTCATTGCGAAAAGCAGATGTTTCCCGGGTACAGGAGGTAATACAGCTAGCTGCAATTGCCAGACTTTGTTGTGACATCGTCTCGCAGAGAAGCAATTACGGGCCTTCCAATTTAGTAGAAAAGATATTACACAGCTTACCATGCTCGAAATGCAATACGGGCATGATCATTTGCTCCAACTGATTGGGATGTTTATAATGGGTGACAAAAGGCAATGGCAGGGGGAATGGGTAAAGGTGAGAGGCACAAAGTGTGTGAGTGAGTACACTGCTGGACATGCAGTAGTCACTGACGCCTGCTCCTGATCTTCAAACAACTGCTGACTCCTCATTGATCAACTGACACAGCACCCAAAAGCTACTGTGTCATTTAAAAAAAATCCCTTATTTGGTTCAGTTAATTACCAAAAGCATAAAAACCTCTCCAGCTACCAGTCCACACCCCATATTTTGTGGTCTGTGGGACTTGAACTGGCAACCCACTGGTTCCCAAGCCAAGTCCCTACACACTGAGCTACTACCTCCCCCTACAGCCAAACGATCACGCAGCTTACATATTGAAGCAGCATAAGGTCTAGGTGGTTTTTCTAACATAATAGCGTCATCTCAGCCTATTAGATTCAATCACAAACACACTTATTGACGGGTGTGTTACAACTGGATCCACTCATTCCTTGTGACCTTCACCTATTCAAGCTCACAGAATTAGTGGCATTCAGCGGAAAAAGTCTTCAGTCCGTCAATATCATCGATCCACTCAGATGGTCCTCCACCAAGGGGAGTCCTGAAGTTAACTAAATGATTTTCATTACAGCATTAACAGAACATATTTCCATGCCACAAATGGTTACATTAGGAACAGCTGAACCAATAAATAGATGTAATACGATGCGGTCGAAAAAGACAGGCATTGATAGAAATAGATGCAGTATTGATACCCCCGAGTAGGTGCTGTTGTGTAGGTTTTAATGGGCTTCAGTAAAGGCTTCACTTCCAGCGTATTCACAGAAGAAATATAAAGAACTTTTGTTTCAACATTCTTCTGTATCAGCATGTTGCTTTCTCTTTATCTGTCTAAAGGTGGATGAAAATCTACAGGAGACAGCCAGCACGGAAAGTCATGAGGACAGTTCAGACCCCAAGCTGAGATGGCTCCAGAAATCACAACAGTTGAGGGTAAGACATCCCTATTTTTTTCACATGTCAACCTAAACAATAATGTGTAAATGTCTAGCAGCATTGAAAGTTTAAGGAAATTTGATTGCCCAAGTTTACAGCAAGGGCTACCTAGCTGCTGCACAGTAGTGCCACTATCGCACTATTTCCTTCAGGGAATGTGCGGCTCACCAGAGATGACAAAAAAACATTAAAAAAGAAGAGAAGAAACATTATTATTTTGAGCACTTGAGTAGCCACCTTAACGCTGCCAAGCAGAGGGAGTGTGAATATTTTCCCACTGGAATGGGGAAAGCTGCTGTTTGCTAAATCAGAGGCATTAGATGTATGAGACACCGGCTCGTAGACCTCCCACTCAATAATTTGGTGAGATCATGCAAAGAAGAGCGCCAGCCCTTTCTTACACTCGGGGAAAGAATTGCGCCCCTTTTTTAGAGCTCATGTTTGTCTGTTGTTGATTTTGTGGTGTAACAGGTGGATTTAAAGCTGATGCTTGGTGCTCCACACCACCTTCAGAAATAAGAGTTAGCATATCTCACAGAAATGCAGAGGAATTTTAGACACAATGGCAAAATTAGACCCATATTTAGAGTTTTTTTTGCTGGCATTAAAAACCCAGTATTCCAGTTGGGTATGATCGTGACAACATCTGTTAATACGTGCCTAGTGTCTGTCTGGATGTGGATGTTTGTGCTTCCTCTGAGATTCTACATCAATGAAAAAAGAATGTTATCCTCAAACTGTTTATCCTATTCTAACCCCAGGTTACCCAGATCAGCAAAGGGAAGAAAGCCCAGAGGAAAGGATCCCCCAACCCCCCTCGACAGCAACAGCCCCCTGCCCCGGGGGTCAGAGCTGAGCGGGGAGACAGTCTGAGCTCCCCATTAGCAAGACCAGCCGCTGTAATACAACAGCCGAAACCTCAGAAGACGACTTCATCACAACCTTTGCCCCCCACTATTCACCTCAACATCAACCTTAACACTTCATCCCATCTCCTTCCGTTACTCCAGCAGGGGGGCCAGGATGCCGCCATCAATGTAGCATCTCTTCACGGCTGTCCTCACTGGAGCCCTGCATCTGAAGTCGAACTTGCATTGTCCCCTGGATACCAACAAACAAATCCAGCAAAGTCCTCCCAGATGTTTAGGACAGGCGTAAATGCACAACTTCACAACCGAAACTTGGAGAGTAGCCCTAAACAATGGAAAAGGTGAACCATTTATACTGCTTTGTTTTTTTATTGACCAGAGATGAGAATTACATTTCTAGGATCTCATTGGGATGACTGGATCACCACCTCAAGTAATTAGAACAAACAGAGCATATAAGGTGGGAAAACAAATTGGATACACAACAACAAACAGAATATTTACCAGATACATCGGATTGTTGTTCTGTGGCAGAATAAGACAACTACGAAGTCGTAATATTCTCTTTTCTTGCAGTGCTAGCAGACTGGAACGTAGCATGTTTGACTTGTGATGACACCTGATATCCACAGTTATCCAACAGTTGTTTAGGGTTGGTATGAGTTGGCAAAATGAAGGCAATTATTCATCTGTCAATTTTTCATTGAAATGCCTGTTTTCATTGTTAACCTTTTAGTGTTTCCTGCCCTCACTCTGCCCTGGATTTGCCTCACAGGTGAGTGAGGCAAATCCAGTCACTGCAGCAGGTCAAGTGTTTGCGTACCTTTCGCAGATATAAGAGTCACTGCCTTTGCACACTGCACAGATCACTTCCCAAGTAACAACAAACAAACAAAAAACAACAAAAAAGCACCCGGCACCCTATCTGGCCCATGGTTCTTAAGGGTCCAGTGTGTAACCATAAGGAGGATCTACTGGTGGAAATGTAATATTCATAGGTATGTTTTCATTAGTGTTTAATCACCTGAAAAAGGGATTTTTTGTGATTTTGTTACCTTTTAGAATGAGCTGTTTTTATCTACAGACGATGCAGTCACCTTCCATGGAGTCCGCCATGTTTCTACAGTAGGCCAG